AAAAAAAAAACTAACCGAAGGGGTGGTACAGCATAACCATATTAATATAAAAATAGCGCCGTTATTAAAGTACTAGCTGTTCCCATGCGACTTCATCCGCATGCAATTATAAAAATGTCAAAATGACATGATGATGACAAACCATGGCAACCTTGCTTCCTTGTTGGCAACAACTTATGGTCTCTTTCCCACATTAGGGGTTTTATCCAAAATATTTACCCCCTAAATTTAATGGCGTGAAAATATATAGCCTAAAGCTTGACGTAAGTATAAGGCTTTTTATTAAAGAAAGAATTATTCAAAAATATGCTGTAATTGCTGACATCTTAGGCAACAAAGAAGTGTGTGTTTACGCTTTATTATAATAGTATAGATATAGCACATATTACTCAGTTATAATGTAGCTTTTTAATATAAGAATTTAAATTGGCCTAGTATTTTTTTATCTTTCCTCTTGATACTTTTACTATAGATAGTTTTCTAAAGGAATATATTTATTGACAGATAACCTTCTGGAAATTATGAGGAATAAGTACTTGGAAAATGTTTGCAAAGTAAAATTAAATTTAACTTAACGAAAGAGCTAAGGATTCGAACCTATCATACTTTTAAGAGTCATGTATTTCAACCATTCACCTATTGGCATTAAATGTTTTAAACTATTAAACAATCCGGTTTTGAATGTATTTGTAACATTTATACAAAACTAACCTAACCTAATAGGGTCTTAAAAACAAAGGTGACATCCGCTGACACCGTGCCCTATGCATATGCATATGCAAGTTTATAATCGAAATGTGCATACAAGTGCTGTCATTTGCATAATCATTTTGAGTTTTAATGGTTTGATGATAAATTCGACCTTAACCATTATGGCAACTTTTAAAAAGTCCAAAACGATAATTGTGCTTCAACATTAAAATATATACTAGTCCAGTGCTTTCTAGAATAAATACAATAAAACCCGCTGAACCCTTAATTCGAGGGAGTTTTTTTGTAGTTGTACATTTTTGGATATGAAATATGAATGTGATAATATAATTGAAATAGATTTCTTGACCGCCTTCCTAAAAGGAGGTACTAAATACGTCCGTCGCTTTCCCAAAAGGAGGTACGTCTGTATATTTTTATGTGTTACGCGATATCTCCGGCACTGGTGGATCAATTTTGAAAATCCTATTTTTTTAAATAGTTGCTGTCATACAGGACAATATTAAAGTAAGTTAATACGATTTGCCGTATGCGCCAAAAAGAAATTTACAATCTATACTAATGTTATAAAAAGATTTGTATTTTTGTATGTATTAGAATCACGTTAAATCTATTGGGCTTATTTCAAAAGTTCTTTCACTAATATAAAGGTATTTTACCTGTGAGTAACACGGGCTATATTTTTTAATTTCACGTAGGCGAATTCGCGAGCAACAGCTAGTCTACAAATATTACTTGTGAACCTACGACCAACAGATGGAAAAATGAACCATTAGGCTATTGGTTATACATGTTTTCGAACAGTGTAAACGGGCAATAATTCAAACGAACGTACCTTTAGCAGTGTTTCAGTCGGAGAGCAGGCAATAACAAAGACCCTAGGAGCGTTATCAATCCAATTTATACGATACGATATCACCGATCAATACAATTATCTGCCACAACCCTTCCAAAGTTTGCACTAAATACTATTCAAATATATTACTTTTGTTATAGTATAACAAATACTATTGATTATACAAGCTTCAAAAGGGTCGCTTTACAACTTAAAGGCGGACATACGCATACCTTTTTTGCGCGGGGGAAATCTTAATAAAGATTCCTTGTCCTCAGTTTTGGACATGATTATGTAAGGTTATACCTACTCAGGCGGGGGTCACGGACGTAAGCGAAAGCGTGCCCGTGGCATCGG